AGATATTATTTTTTCCGTTTATTCGGATCGGTTTCCGGCTTGTCCGGTTTGTCCTCCGGCGAGATCCGGGTTTGGGTTTTATTTTGCTTGTCTTCAATCTCTTTTCCATCTTTTATTGTCGTCCGATCACCAGTTTTTCTTCAAAATTTCTCCGATTTCTCCAACCTCTTGAGGAGTAATATCTTCATCATAATCCCTTTGCTTAAGACGCATGAGCAAAGTTTGGAAACAGTTTACATCAATACTTGGGTGTAGCGGTGATGAAGCTTCCTAAGATTTTGTATTCTTCGGAGGAGTTTTCGAGGAGGATTGATGGTTCTATTCGGTTGAATTTGATGACTCCTTTGGTGGGATTTGAGATTGGCGGAAGGGAGCAGGTCTCGTGTCGTTTCGTAGATGATTAGCGGCGGCTAATCGGAGATCGTCGCAGGTCTGTTGGTGGTCTGGTGAGGATTTGCGGTGGCTGATGGAAGATGCAGACGTTATGTCGGCTAAACCATATTTGGGCTTCATAATATTGTATTCAATGACTTTAGTTTTGGTCTGTTAATTATGTAAATTCTTATTGGGCTTGGCCCTTCTGATAATATAACAAGATGTGTTGCCGACAAAAAAAAATAAAAAAAACCTCTTAGTTTGTAATAATTATGTTGGTGTCAGAAATTGAAAATGCCTTTGGTGTTGTTGATTCTCCCTAATCTCTCTTCTGTGGCCTGGCCGACAAATAAAACAAAAATACTTAATCATAGCTTTTTCAAACACTCACTATATATATCATCTAAACAAGAGCAAATTAGCAAGTAACTTAAAAAGAAAAGTAACAAGATTATTGTTTTTAATAAACAGTTAATTGATTGGTAACTTAATTTGAGATGCTCAGAGACTGTTGGAAACAAACAGTTAACTTAAGTGGTTTAATAAAACATGCGGTTCAAATCACCTGGTTTTAAACAAGTGTTATTTTTTTTGCTTGTTACAATTTGATTGTTCTTAATGGCAGAACATTTGTTTTACATGATAATGGTCGTACTCACTGTATTCCCCGATAAACGACATTTACCAAATGACCCTTTTACCACTACGACATTATAAAACACCTTTACCTTTCAATCCAGAGAGCCCAAAATCCTTATTTCTTCGCTCACCAAAATTTAATCGAAGAACGCTACGATTTCCAATTATTCTCAGTGAACAGTCTCGAGGAGATAAAGAATAACAAGGAAAGCGAGGAAGATGACCCTTATATCGAGTTACTTCAACGCAGTGACGGAAAGAAAGACGCAAATCTATATGTTCCAGCGCTACGGAATGCCCCAAAGCTGGAGGAGAAGAATCCGACTCTTGCACGCTCATCATCATTGAAGGTTTATCCGCCAAAAATTTTATGGTAAAGAATTTGATTTCTACTCTCATTGATAGTAATAA